TATAGACGATCCTCGTGTGAGGGGATCAAGGTGGGCTGTGCCACGAATGGTTTTGTCATCGAAAACAGGGCTGTCTTGGTATCACAGAAATTGGCCATAAAACCACTACTGAGGGAAATATGGGAAAATGGGGTGCGCACCCTGTATATGGGCCTATCTAAGTGGCTGTCCCTGTCTGTGACGGGATTCCCAAACCCAGTTTTTCACATGTTGACAAATATGTGAACTCATGTGTCCCATGGTCATGCGCCATGACAATGGTTGTATCAGATCTATATTCAGTGGGTCAGTGAGTGCCGACCCCTTGGGGGGGTGTTGGCCATGCCGCCGGAATGAGCCCGGTGGCCATGTTAAACGCCGGTGTCCCAGAATTAAGCCAATATCCACGAGCAATCCACAAAACCAAGGGCCAGCGTGTCTTGCGGATGAATCCAGCCCTAAGCCAACCTGGACGTATGGGTCAAAATCAAACCACTAAGGGTGACTGATGGGATCTGCACAAGTTGCTCTGACTGACAACTGGCATTACAACCAGGAAATAAACTTTCATCATGGGGACCCAGCTTGATTTAGGCCCGGTTGGTGAGCTTGCCATTATTTGTGCAAATGGGATCCGTCCCTTCATGCTGGATCCATGAATGTGGGTTCCTGCGGACTGCCCTCTAAGTGGTCTAAAGAGACACGATCCCCCACAATTAACTGTAAGAACTCCTTACTATGCTCCCGATGTCTGTCAAGGCAAACGGCAAACAACCAAAAACCAGTTCCACTCGTCTCGCCTTCCCACAGGCAAAGGAAACGATGTCAAGAGCAACGGGTCCTCCCTCCCATTTCGCTTTGTTGGGCGGGAGCAAAAAATCTGGATACGCCGGAAAGAACTCGAGCCTGAAAGAAAGGACCTTTAAGATTCCGTCATGTCTGAGGTGGCAAATCCAGATCGCTACGATTCACATCTAAGTGGGACTCAAAAAGGGGGTTGCACCAAACAAATGTTGTGAAACAACTGTTGGTTTGTTGGTTCCATATTCATTTGCAGGGGTGCCCAAGGCAAATTCGTCCGATTGAAATATGCTTTGCGAGATGCTGCAGGATTTGAAGGCCCACGGGCTCTGGGTTCAACGTGCTCAGGCTCATCTCCTCAGGAGACAACTCCTGAACATCGAGCCACTTGCCCTAAAGATATTGAAAATGAAAGTTTGACCTTTTGAAGGTTGTTTGGTCTTAACATGGACGACCATATCTCCCATGTGAAATCTAAACGTTGGGCAACTTAGTCGACTCCAAATGTTGATCCCAGGATAAATCAAGCTGTTGCGTATTGGGGGGTTACTTTCCCCCAAAGTGCAGTTGAAGGTTTCCCTCAAATCTTGAGCCAACATCTCTCAACAATCAGTCATGGGTTCATGAACCTGAGCCAGCATCAACTATTCCCGTGGGGAGGTTCGCGTAAATTGTCCCCTTCAAGCTGAAGTCGCCCATTGCCTTTGGGGTGTTTCGAGGGTAAAAATATATCGCTATGAATATGAGGCACGTAGAATTCCCCCCATGAAAACAGGTCTCAAGAAAGAAGCACAGACAATGAGCAAGTATGGTCAAAGTCTGGCACCAAGGAAGTAGAAGGGAGGGGAACATCATGCTTCTGCCCAAACAACTTTGGACTCGCATGGCCCAACCGTTGGCCACGTCGGGTAACGACTGGCGGCGTGCTGGTTTGCGGGCATGCTCAATTTGCGGACCATGTCGTTGCGCTGGAAAAAGGGAGACCCGCGGGCCCATGGGCCCGTCATAAGAGCATGTGCGATCAATTCCTGAATGCCGAATTTGGAACAAAGGATCAAATGCCTTACGGCGAGCTGAAGTTTCGCAAAGTCAAGGGAATCTTGCAGAAGCCTCTGCTTGTGTAGTTCACTAGGTTGATGTCCGTCAAAACCAAACATGCTCAAGCTGGATTCGCATGCTCATTCAAACGGAATGTTTGTTCAGGTTCTGCCCACCGCTACTTTGGCTGGTCTGTTCCTGGGAATGGGCGCATCCCGTTTCCAGGCAGCAAAGGGCAATGGGTAGCACAACGGCCCAAAGAAGATTCGGGTTGTGGGATAATTCAAAACTACGTAGCCTCTGGCGTTACGCTCGCAATAAGGGACAACCACGGCTGGGGCACGGAAGGAAGGTTTGATACCCATGACCCCCCGGTGCAAGTGTCACATGAGCGGGGGGAAGGGGCCTGGAAACAATCTTGCAACAGGTCAAAGGGTGTGTTTTTTGACTCCCCTTCCGGTTGATACTCTGGATGAAGAAATCCCTGCAGTAGGTAACCGGTGTTTTATCCCAGTATGCAAAGACTTTTATGGGTCTTAATTGGTGGAGGATTTTGGCCATCCCAAAGTTGGAACCGCCTATGAGGAGACCGCAGGATTTGCAGTGAACAGTATGCCCCTATGAGTGTACAAAAAACAAGTAAAAACCAGGGCGTCAATCCGCTTTCTCGCCGAAGCAACTGGCCATTCCCTGGTGAACCAGTTCGAAGCTCTCAACAAGCTACCCAGGCAAGGCGTGTGGAGCCTCAGATTTGCCTCATGGGCGTCCATCTCTGGTCAAGGGATCCCCCCCCACTGCTCAAGGCGTCCAACGTGGGCAAATTACGATTTGCAGCCTAGAAACAAAGAAGAACTGAAGAGACCTGCAGCAAGCTGATATCCCGATCCGGTTCATTTTGCCCCTGGAGATGCATCGCACAGCCATGCCTACAGCCAGGGCCCCGGCAACCTCCACACCGATGAAAATCGAGTTCGTGATGACAATTACCGCGAAGAACATGTCGAAGGCCGGCGCAGAAACCACCTCTCTCTTCGGCGTATTCTTACCCCATTTTGATCTGCCAACTGAGGGAAAAACAGGCGTTACGTGCCCCTGGCAAGTATTCATATATGCAATTTGTCTGGGGAAGGGCCACTTACTTCGGAGCACCCTCCATACATTGAGGACCCTTTCGTGGGCTCGGGCGTTTGAGGAGAGAACGCCCTGGTTGGTGAACACGTGGTTTACGTTAAAACAAAAGCTGTGCTCTCGGGTGGTGGGGGGCGGGGTTGTCCAAATCAGGGCTCCTTTTGGCATTTTTGGTCAAGACGGCACCAGGGTCCAAAAAGGGGCCATATACTTGACCACCCCCCAAAACCGTGGGTGATGAATATTGGCTACGTTTCGTACTGCAAAACGACAAACATTATAATATACGTTCTTGCAAATCCCATTCACGAAGGTTACCAAGTCCTTTCGCAAAGGAAAGGACCTCCGGATCGCGGGCTTGAACAGCAAACGCTGCATGTACAACCAACTGGCCTGGTTCTACTGCATATCAAAGGAACATCCCAACAAAGGGCCAGTGCTTGTCAAATTCAGTCCCTTCGAACAGCCCCGACCAATGGCTCGCCCCCTCGCCTTGCGCACCCACGAACTCCCTCTCATCGTCGTCTTGGACCGGGACTTCAGCCCCTTGCCAAGGTGAGCTGGTTGGTTTCCGGGGCTTAGGCTGAGGTTGGCAACCCCCTATGAAACCGCCAGGGGAAATCCCGGCTCAACATACAACCCCCAGCTATGTGCTTGACACATATCTTTATTCAACGATCGGAGCTGGGTCGTCCAAGGGAACCACCTCGACAACATGCGAGGTCCCGAGCTTGCATCTCATGTTCCTCTGAAAGGATCTTCCGATGGGTTCCATACTAGCCGGTGGCAGAGGGCGTATGAGGCATCCCTGAAAGATCTGAAAGACTTCCAACTGCTTGCCTTCAGGAAGCGTACACTGGAGGGGCTAGGTTTGAGTAGAAGGGCCTTGAAGTTTCAAAGGTCAATCTTTCGGGGTTGAATCCGCACTAAGCAGTTCTTGCCGAAGAAGTGCGTAACCTCACCAGAGAGAACAGGTGCAGGCTCGCAGCGGGGCTAGCAAACTTCGGGTGGATTGCCTCGATTACCTCGACCGCTACTAACAATACTTAGCATGCAAAAATAGGGCAACTGCTCCGCAGCATTTGCAAAATCGTCTCCTTGCACGGAGGTATTGCCGGTCCCGTGCGCAAATACCCGAATTGTTGCACCATAAGCCGCACATGTTCTCAGGGTCGGAGGCCATCCAACAATATCCAACATATCCAACAACAAGATCTTGTACAGCTACAATTACCTTGCCTCCTCAAGCTCCTTGGATACTAAAAAATGCCTAAGCAATGTCGCAAGGCCGGACACAACACAAATGGGCTGAGTAAAGCAGCAGCAACACGTTGAAGGCCAACCAGTGGTTCCTTCCACATGCGCGGAAAGGCAAGAAAAGGCACATTGCCACCCAACGACAAATGACTATCACCCCAATGCAACATTACATACCAGCTGGCCCCCCAAATCAGAAGACCTTCCGCCGACCCCCCAGCGAACGGACCTCGAGAACGGCTGTCCTTTTTTGGCCGTCCAAAATTTGTTTTTCTTATGTTGCGGCCGCTTTCTTTGGAAAAAGGAACAACCATCGCGGAAAACAAACAAATCGCCGGGGCCAAGTCTTGCACGGACGTGCCTTGGCGGTGCCGGTGGCGGTGTGATCTCCCGTGGAGGCGAAGAGCTCCCGGCTGATCTCCCCGTCCACCTTGGCCGCCTGGTGCCTCAGCGCCAGGTCCGCCTCCGTGAAGGTGTGGAAGACCTGCCCGACTCAGGTCCAAGCGAAGCTCTTCCGGGCCGACCCAGCCCTGCCAGGCCCGATCAAACCAAACAACCGGAGGAAAAACAAATCGAACAACCAAGAACAAACAACCCAAAAACAAGCAGCCAAAAACAAACAACCAAGCAACCAACCAAACAAACAACCAAGCAAACAACCAAACAACCAAACAAACAACCAAGCAAACACCTAACTTGCCAATCAGCTCGAAGTCCAGTTGATAGGTTGAACCAGCTGAGATGTGTTTTTTCTTTTTCTTCTTTCTGAATCCTGCAGTAAACCCATTGATTGGGGGGGCCTTTTCGCCCCAAGTGATCTGGGTCCCCTCTGGAATGGGATGCATCGCGTTGAGCCAACCAGGGGTCTATTGATCCGGGCTAAACTTAAGTGGAGACTTTGCTTTCCCAAATCTGTGCAGGTAGGGAAGGACAAACTTTTGCCTTCCAAAACTATACTCTAGTAGGGGGGCACGTAAGAGTCTCAAAACAACACTGGTGCTGTGACAATCTAGACGCTAGCAGGGTGGCCACGTTGCATTCTGAAAACCCAACCTAGATACAGCGGCAATTCAACCTGCTCCCAAACTTATGCTTTCGAAGAGGGAACATTATTTCCCAAACCTATGCACTAGGGTGGGCTAACAAGAAAGCGCAAACAGCAGGAAGACCGCGAAGGACCGCTAGATCAGTGGAAAACCCCGCTTCGAAAGAGAGACTCCACAACAACGAGGGATGTTGGCGCTTCTGGCTTGTTTTCCCTTAAGCATCTCCACGAAAGAAGCCAGCGCAATAAAGATGCTGGTGCGCATCTATTGGACATGGCCCTTGAATAGCAAGTAAATCTCAATGAAACCAGGGCGCACAACTCCTTCCACTCCCAGTGAATATGAGCATGTAAGGTCGAGGAGTACGGGTTCGTGCGATGTGATGCTACACACGCACACGCCGCAACCATGCCATCCGACTGGCTCCCATCAAATCTCCATACCAATCGTGTGTGGCTTCCCATAGAAGCCTACCCCTATTAGGGGATATGAACGAACAAGGTACTTTGTATCCTTTAGTTTAACAGTTCCCCACTGATAACCCCGTTCATTCATGTTTAAGGGCAATCATCTGAGTCTGGCACCCAACTGCGAGCCCGCCTTCTCTTGATCGCTTGTCAGGCTCAAAGGGCTGCTGTGCTTCGACGTCCGGACTTGCCCCGGCGGCGAAGCCAGCGGTGCATGCGCGGGCGCCAGCGGCGGCAACGGCGCCGACGTGGACGTTTGGACATGGGCTGCAGGACACGCGGTGCCAGTGCTGTCGAAGGGGCTGGCGAGTCTGGTGAGCATCAGGTGCTGCAAACGCCTGACGCTGAAACTGTGTTGCAAGGAGGGTCCTAACAAAGCAGGCTCCCCCTTATGTTGGTTTCCTTCCGTGGAAGTAAAGGTTGCCGGTCCCCTTTGCGGCTTCCTTTTGGAGAAACTCAAACTTGGAATTTATTCAGCACCGGGCAAGACCAGCCCAAACAAAAAGGCAACCACGAAAGGAAGCATCTGGTTCACCTTCCAGTTCTTCAGTGGCCCGAGTTCTCTCTTTTTCCCATGGCCGAAACAAAACAACAACAGCCACAAGGCCACAAACTCGTTGAAGCTTCCGGTCAAGGTAGCTAATATCTACAAGTGGAATATTGGGGGTGGGTGGCCTGGAAACAGCAAACAGTTCATGCCCTTGTGGCTTCTGGGAAGTTGAATCCAAAAGTGCCCCCAGGGGAGATTCTTTGAAAGTCTGAAAGCTTGTTGGGTTCAACTGTAACCTGCAGGGGAGTATATGTTGTCCTTTTGAGGAGGGGCTCGATTTGTAAGTGGCCCAAGCAAAAAAGCCAAGCCCTTCCTCGTTTGGGCACTCGCGCCTGAGCACTTCGTCCTGCGCGTCCAGGCGTTTCAGCAGATCCTGCTGCTGGGCCCGCAGCAGCTCCTTGAGCCACCATGTTTTTTTGTTTCTGCTTTTTAAACAAAGCAAAACAAAACCAACAAAATCAAAAACCAAATCCCATCGGTGGAAACCAACAAGGGACCCAGAGAGGGGCAAATCGAAGCATCGCAGCAAGAGAAAGTCAGCAAAACGCAAATGTCTGCTCGCGTGGCGCCCCCAGACCCCTGCTCCCCGGCTGGAAGGCCGCGTCCTCCAAGCCGGACTCCACAGGTCCCTCCGGCGGAGGTGCCGGGCCGTCGGCCACGGCCAGGACTCGGCGCGAGGAGTTGGGTCCAACCCCTGCTGCGCCCCACGTCTTGCTGCAAAATGTCGCGTGAAACCAATCTGCATGGGTGTCCTTTTGGGCAAATAGATGTCCCTGGTAGATGATGAAACCGCCAGGTACAGCAGGGCCATCTATTTTTCGACCAAAACAACCAAAAAGGACACCTATGATCTGCGTGCCTTTCACCCAAGGACTTAAGCATGCAAGAGGAAAACCAGTCCAAAGGTTGGAAGCTTGAAAGCTTGAAAGAGCAATCTAGCGAAGGGGAAGAATGTCTGGGGGGGTGTTCCACATCATTCACAACAAGCGAGAAAGATTGAAGATCTCATCGTGACATCCATGTACGAAAAGGGATCATCCCAAAAAGCCAAGTAATATGAAGGCCTACAGTAAATAATTAAAGTGGGGTTATGGGGGTATGTTAAAACTCAATGACGCCTGATCAATTGGCCCAAACCCCCAGTAGCCACAGAACAAACCAGCACTCTTCTTTTCGGTACTTGATGTTCAGGAAAATCCCCGATGGAACAAGTAGGAAAAAATGGCACCACTGGGTGACTGGCTGATATTTCCCCGTATCTACGGCAGAGACAAACCAGACGTGCGGCAAGCTGCATGGGGTCCACAAGTCCTCGCGGCGGCTGGGGTGCGGAGCCTCAACCATTTCCTCCTCCTCCATGGCTCTCATCCAGGGTGAGAGGTCAAAAGAGGCTAGGCCCAACCCTCCAAGTATCTTAAAGCACTTGTGCAGTCCGGAGAACCAACGCAAAGTGTGGAGGAACTGATCTTGATGGATATCTACATGCGGCAAGGCAGGAAACAAGACTCAAATGCCATGTTCGACAGGATGTTGCAAATGACATCTATGAAACTGAGGTTGAGCACTGGCTGCGGCCACAGACTCTGACTGGGAGACACCCCCCCAAAAGAAGCTGCGCGCACCTTCTGGACCAACAAACGTAAGCTGCCCTCTCAAGCCTTGGGAAAACTGCTCCTGCCACTTGCGTCCTGTGGACCGGGACCAATCCACACCTTCTTGGTTTTTTGAAGGGTGGGGAAAGCCCTTGGTTAAGGGATGGGGAAATCCCTGGGATGAGCATGGCGAAATGACCTGGAACCAAATGCATGCCAAATGGCCCTGTCGGAAAGCGCTTTGCCATCCATGTCTCCATTCAACGAGACCTCACCATGGCCAATAGAACCATTTTCTTGGGGTGGCAAAAAAAAGGTCTGGACAACAAATAAATCATATCCAACCTGAATTGAATCCGAACGTGCACCTATATGTTCATGTGGGCAACCTACTTTAATGTTTCCTCTGGAGAATCATTTTGAGGCGTCCTTTTAACTTTCACTTTCACACCCTCCCCAAGAAAGAGCAAACCGATCTTTGGGCCAGCCTGATTTGACGGGAAAAGGTCCCCTTCCGAGGTGCAGCCAGGACGAAGCACGCCGGAGACAAATTCACCATGCTGAAAACCAAGTGCCGAAACTACCACTCAGCTTGTGCCGAAACAAACATGATTCGTGGATTCCGGCCAGGGATAAAATGGAAACATCGATGCATGGCGGTTTCAACAAGCAAACCCTTGACAGAAACCAACCTGGCGCGAACATGCTAGAGCTGCCCGGAGGCACCCTGTAGCCACACCCAAACGTGGTTGTACAATACTGTTGGTCCGCTTTTCGGCGAGCAAAAATGGGTGCGAAACAGAAGGGCTCACAATCCCGGAACAATTGGAGAAACGCTCAATTTTGGGCTCAGAGCATTTCAGAACCGTCGGGAACATGGCAGCCTTCAAAGAGAGAGGGGGTGGAAAGTCCTCAGTTCCATTTTGCTGCACTTATCCAGTCTTTCTTTCGCAAGGGAGATTTCCTGTTTTACAATCTAACTTACCCTCTAACAAGCAATTCAAAGAGAAGCAAACACCCCTCTGCATGTGACCACCTTAACGAGCCCAGGTTGGCCTCGAGAGGCTCCAGGCTCTTCCTGTGTCAAGCAATGGCCCTGTTGGTTAGGGTACCACCTCTCTCCTCACTCTTCTTGGTTGACGTTGAAAGGGGAGCAAAAAAAATATTGTTTGGTAGTTAAGTGGGGATTTCCCACTAAACCACAATAAGCAAAAATGTAAAATGTTTCCCAACAACAACCATGTCTTAGGCGCGTTTCTGTCTGAGGGCTGCATCAACTTGAAAGATCTGGCTGGCAAACTGATATGCAGTGTGTTCCTCCCCCTACCCACATGTGAAGGATCTCCTCGAAAATGGGACGCCCTCCAAAAAATCACCCAGGTTTAGCAGTCGGGGTTTCCCTTTATGGAAGCCTAAAGGGAAACCACGCCAAGAAAGAAGCTAAGTGCGCTTTTGCTTTTGCATAAACCCTGAACCATCCTGAGATCATCTGACTGAATCAGCTGCCGATAGCTTTTGGTCAGCAGCTCAGGGACGACCTTTAAACCTTGCACAAAACAACATGGCACATGTTGCATTTCCTTTGTCTTCATATAGGGTTGCAAATGCGCTTCTATGCAGCGCCGAGCCGATTGGATTCTGGCGCAGGCGCTGATCTCGCACACGTTTGCCAGTGGCCACAGGGTGGGCATGCCGGTCCCTAAGCCAGCCTAAACCAACCCTAAGCGCTAAGCAACCCCACCAAAATACCGAAACCAGCCCTAACCCGTCCCTCAGACCCTAAACCTATGACCCTGAACCCACCCTAAACCACTGCGAAATCCACCCTGAATCACAACCCTTAAACCAAACCTAAACCTACCCTAAACCCAACCAAGACCAACTTACCAACCCTAAACCCATCATAACCAGCCCTAAACCAAGCCTAAGCCAATTGAACCAGGCACAAACCGATCCCGAAGAAGCCCACCCAAACCCACCCTAAACCAAACCCGAGTCCCACCCTAAACTCACCCTAAACCAAAGCTTTTGGTGATGTCGGGGATGTTGAAACGGTGCTGGGGGTGCTGAAAACGGTGCTGGGATGTCGACGGTGCTGGTATAAAGCATGGGCATGTTGATACAAGATGCCTAAAAGTACGGCATGTTAGTGCCTAGAAGCGAAAACCAAGCAAGTCTTGAAAGTAAACTTATAACAAACAACCAATATCCTCCGTTGCATCTCCACTCGAGATCCTTTTATCTTATTAAACCCCAAGAACTTGCGCGGCCCGGTCCAGAACGGGGGTGGTTTAGCTTTGGACCCCCGCCTTTCGGATGGGAAAAGCAGGCTTTGGAGGCTTGTTGAACACGCATGGGGTTAGGCTCAGGCGAAATATAGCACGTGCAACAATGGCAATTACAAATATCATCAATGGAATAACTACGCGGCTATCCTGGTTATGATTCTGAGGGTGTTGCAAACGCACTGTCTCATCAGGGCATCAGCACGACAATCAAGAGAATGAGGCCGGAACCTTTGTCCAGGAATCCTTCAAGGGAGGTTGTGTGGGTGTTCATCCCTGATCCTGCGTTCCCTCTTGCCAACCCACATTACAAAGAGGAGAACACCCCTTCAAGGACAGGCAGGGGTAGCAGCAACTAAACCATTTGGGGCCATTCATCCAAGGTTATGTAGAGATGGGGCGGGTATCTGCAATCACTCTTGGACATGGTCCCTGTCAGGTTTCCATTTGCGTCTGTTTGAAACGTCACCCCAAAGGGAAGCACGATAAAACAAGTGCGTTCGGCTGCAATGACAACAAGCTCCCATAGGACTTTGGCTCCCCGGATCCTCGGATGAGATGCACGGAGGGCGTCTCCGCCTGCAAGTGAAGGGGCCAGCTCAAGATTGGTCTATGCGATAACCAATAAGCCAAGAATAAGCTCTTCGTAGATCCCCCTCGTAGCTTCCTTTTAGGTCCATGACACTTTTGGCGCAAACCCCTGTGCATACTTTTGGGGGATCTCTGTTCTCCAGCCAAGAAATCCTTTGAACTGAGAGCGCCAACCTATTTGCGGGATGCCATGGGATGCCCCTTTGGGGCTTGCAAGGCGTAAATGTGTTGGGGCGCATATCCGGCGGCAAGTGGTTGTTTCCCTTGATGCTACCCCCGCCCCCCGGCGACATGCTATCCCAATCTTCCGCAAAGCAAACCTCTCTTCACATGACCAAACCCCTCTTCACATGACAAGGTTTGGGGACGCCAGGTCAATCCCCAAGAGTGTAACAAATGAATTTGGGTGAATTAGTGGCAAAGGCCTGTCTGCCAGCGGCACATGTGCAAAAAAAGGGCACGCTGAAAAGAAAGGACTTGAGCATTTCTACGAATATTGACAATTCAACAAAATAAATCAACAAATTGTTTACCTAGACGCGTGATAGGTTCTCCAGTGGTTCACTTGCAAATGGCCCTCTCCCACAAATGAAGCTCGCAGATTCCTGTAATTCCCGCCAAGAGCCCTCGTAGCTCCGCCAATGGCCGCGTTGCAGTCGCAAGCACAAAGCTAAGCTCAATATCTTCGTGGCTCTCCGCAGCGGCCACAACTTCCTTGTATCACACTTGACTTACACAATCAAAACACCTATGAGCATTGGGACCTTCATTCGGCCTTTCCAGGGCCTTCTCGCCTCGTAGAAACAAGTGTTTGCAGTTGACCATGCTTTAGTGGGAAACCAACTAAAGCAACGAAAGGCTGCTACTGAATCACTGGTTTTGCAGTGGAAGTCCCATTGTTGGGAAGACCGTGACCGCGCATCGCGCCGACCTCCGGCCCACGTGGAGCCATCGCAGGCAACGGTATGGGTCCTGACAGCGAATGGATTCGGCATGAGGAGCCCCTCCACCAACTAGAACGGAACCAGCAAAGTGGTACAAAATGTGGCACAAAGGAGTTTTGTAGAAAAACATGTCTTCCAGCAACCCGCAGTCTGGTTCCACGTTCGGTAGGTAGCATACTGAGCTTTGAAGGATTGCTTGGCCTTTGGCAATCCCCACCGAAGATTGTGCGTTCGTGTTTGTTTTTCAACCAGTCGTTGGAGATGCTTCGCATTTTATGGCATCATTCCTTGTGGTTTGGATGTGTTGTGCTTGGCACTCACGCGCACAGCAGCATTTGTTTTGGGCTTGAGAAACATTTTATGATGCGATTTGGCATTGGGCTGGGTTTCTGCTGCCTGTCCTACCAACCCCAAAGAAGCAATGGACGCCTTGATTCGCCCTATGATTCAGCTAAATTCTGGATATTCAGCGACCCACCTCGGCGCTGACCAGTCCAAAGAGGAATGACTCATAGTGATCAAATTCTTGGTTTCGGAGTACTGGAAATCGTCTTTGCCAGGCAAAATTGGGGTCGCCACAATGGCTCTTCATTTTGCCAGCACCCTCTTTACAGTGGGGCGTGCGTGTGCGCATTGTAAGCCATTCTAGATCGAAAAGCCACAAGAACGCCTCCATCATGACGAGGTTTTAGTCAAATTCGAGGAGAGGGGAATGGGGGCTTCCAACGATGGGAGCTGACCAAACTGCTTTGGAAGCCTACCGAGATGCGGTGATGCCTCGGCGTGAAAAGAAAACTCGCAGGGATGCAATGTGGGGGGGTCTGGGATTTGCGAGCCCTCAAGAGAAAATAATAACATCAGTGAATGGTTAGCACGTCAACATCCCTGTTGTTTCCATGTTCCTTGGCCTTGTTGAATTGGAATTGGAGGGGGGGCAAAGTTGTTCAGTGACCCTAGACAAGGGGAGCCCATTTGGGGCTGACCATGTTC